CCAAAAGTAAAAACCAAGTTTGAAAAACATTGTATATGGTATGAAATAGTGAAAACAAGACTTGTTTGGTAAAAACCAAGTCCTCAAGGTCGTAAATCACGTGCGTACGGTTTTGACCGTTTTTCACGTGTTAGACCGATTGACCAAGATACAAAGATGGTTTTTACAAAATAATTATTCGGGAACCTTTAAAATATGCTCAGAGATAAAAACAGGGTTTATAATATTGAAAACCACGGAGTTGGTTCGGGCGCCAAAAAACCGAACGCCGAAAACCGAACGACGAAAGCCGAACGCCGACTTAGGTGGTTTTGGTTCTGAGCAAGGACCAGGGATTTTAATAATAAAAGAAGTCATCAAAAAATGTCTGTTTTGATGCACAAAAAATGTTTTATGGTTTGTAAAAATTGTTTTGACTTTTTGAGAACCGAGACTTGAATAAATCGTCGGTTTTGATCACAAAAGACCGACTCGACTAAGTCTTCAATTCTTGATCTTGTCCTTGAGTCTTTTAGGTCTTGTTCCAAGCCATTCTTCACGCCTTGAGTTATTCAACGAAACTCTTCATATCCACGGCGGTTTGGCAATTATCAAAACCTGTCAGAAATGAACACGACTTTAGTTTAACGTGCAAAGTGTGTTCCAACAAAAAACACCAAGAAAAGTATACTCAATGGAGAAATTTTTCTTTCTCACCCTTATAGACGGCAATGGACAAAGCCTGGTGAGAAGAAAAGATATTCAAGATATTTGGTGGGATTCTCGGCAGTAGAGAAGATATTTGGTGGGAATCTCGCATATTTTTGCATCTCGCCACATATCTTCTCCGGAACAACACTCTCTCCATTTTCGTTTCTTCTAATTTTCTTTTATAAATTTTCTTTTTCCTTTTCTATTTTTTGCTCTTCAAAATTTTATTTTTAAAATTTTCTTTATTTTATTTTATTTATTTCAAATTGATTTCAAGTCTCCACTTCTCCTCCTGTTTCCCCTTCTTCTACTATTTTTCAAAGTCTTTTCTTCCCTAGTCACCATTCTTTTTAACCCTTCTTTTATCTTCCTTTTAAAGATTTTTCTTTCCCAAAACCTCCTCTTGTCCTTCTGTCTTTTTCTTTCCTTTCACCAGCTCTTTCTTTCTTCCCAATTTTTTTTTTGTTGTTTTTTTTTGCTTTTTTGGAGAGTAGTTGTTGCTTCCAAGATCTCAGTGTCCATTTTGGATGTTGAGATCCATCAAACACAATGCCATCTGAACTTCTAAGCAACATCCGCTGGAAATGAAAGCAGCAAATGACAGAAATATCACAGATCTCAAGACAAGACTTGGTTTAGGAACTATTGTAATTTGAATTGTATTTGTTTAAGAGTTTTTGTTAACAAGCTGTATGTTATGAGAAACTAAAAGAAAGTTATAAAATTAGTTCTCAGTATAGCGACCGGAACTCTTAAACACTTGTTTGTCATCATCAAAAAGGAGGAAATTGTTGGGAAAAATATTATAGATTTTGATGATGATGTATCTAGACTGTAATAGGAACTTTAGGTCTTCCCTAATATTCAATGTAATTTTTCTTTTTAGAAATATTGTTAAAACCGAGTTCTTTAGATTTCCAATAAAGTTGTGATACTTCACTCTGTGGTTTGATGTCAATCTTTAAAGACTTAATCAAATTCAGTGATATGGAAATTAGAATTCTTGATCGGATATGTCAGAGACAAGTAAGGAATTCTCAGAGAAGTTGATTACTTTGAGGATTCTCAAATCCGGAACACTTCACAGTAACCGGATGTCTCACAACAACCCGCTGAAGGCTAAGTCATCCAGATCAGAAGATTAGCGCGGATCTCTTTCTCACCTGGAAGTCTATGAATGACCTTTCCGGAATTGTCAGCGAAGAATCGGATGCCTCAAGAAAGACCGGATTTCTCAGAAGCAGACAAGTGAGAAAAAGACTTGGAAAATTATCGAAGTCTTGAATGAAGAAATTCTACCCGTTGGTAAGGAAAAATCAATCTCTTGATTTTCAACGACTAGATTGAGGATAATTAAGCTGATTCAAAAACAAATGACTTGAAGACAAAGTCTGGACCTCTCAAATTAAAGAGCTCGCCTAGAATTCCTAAACAAGCACTAGAAGACAAACTGAGTACTCCACTCAATAAAGAACTACAGTTCAGAATTCTTGAACAACAGCTAAAGGATGGATTATGTGAAAAAGGTATCCTCCTTCAAACGATTGGGTATGTCCAAACACCCATCCCAATGAAGAATCCTCAATCTCACTCTTCGTTCCAAATTGAAGCCAGCAAATGCAACGGATAGTCTATTTATTCCCTTCAACGGATAGATTATTCACCCAGCTATATATAGCTTCCACGGAAGACTGGAGAAACAATGAATAGACGAGATAGCAAGCAAGACAACAACAACAACAAGCTACATCTATCTCATTCACAGTTAGCCAAAAAGCTTGAAAAAAAGAGATCTCTAAACTCCTTATCGAGAAGCAAACTTCTCCTCCTTCCAAATAGCTATAGTGTAAATACTTGAAGGTTTCCTTGCCTCAAGTACCACACCACGTTGAAGGATACATCTTTTAATCAAACTTCTTGATTAAAAAGGGGATACATCTACTTTCCTAGAAGTTGATCTTGCAAGTCCTATTATTCGGATCTTGCAGTTGTTGAAGAAGCTTGACCTTCGAAGGAACAATCAAGCCAGCACGTGTGCAGTAGCAACATTGGCCTTGCGAAGATATACCGTGCTAAAATTAACACAAGTGTAATTGTTAGTTCATTATTCAACGACCAACTACATAGTGGATTTTGAGGACGTAGAAGGATTACCCCACCTTCGAACCTCGTTAAAGTTTGCGTGTCTCTCTCTCTCTTTTATCTTTACTCATAATTGCAATTATATTAACTGTGAAAGTAACTCATCCTTATTGATTACTGCTCGATTAACCCACCAACTTCCGCACACAATCTAAAGGTTCACAAGAATTCTAGATTAACACTCATTTTCACGTTTTCAAAAAAAAAAACGAAAAAGTTTTTAAATTGTAACAAAGTCTATTCACCTCCTCTAGACTTTGTATCTCACCACTTTGGGACCACCAGCCAATCACTAAAGCATGTTAGATAATCATTACAAAAACCAGTGCTTAGTCATGAACAATTATATGTTGCGGTTTCAAAAATAATAAATTGTAATGGCTTGAAGATTCTTATTCACGATGCAAAACATTTTTCCACACGATGTACCACTAATGTAGTTTATAAAGAAGTTTTTTAGAACAATTATATGTTGCGGTTTAAAAATATGTACTAAAATATACTATGTTGAATATTTATTTCTTGCCATTTTTAGATGAGTATTTTTTATAATAAAATATATATTTCATCCGTTGATATATTTCCATTTATACTAAAATTTATACTAAAATATACTATGTTGAATATTTACTTCTTGCCATTTTTTAGATGATATTTTTATACTAATAATTAATTTTTACTCGTTGATTTATTTACATTTATATTAAAATTAACTATGTTGAATATTTATTTCTGAATATTTTCCAAAAATAAACCCTATTGAAAGGCTATTTACTAAACTATTTATAAAAATATATATTAAAGAAAAGACGCCTCAAAGTGAGATAAGAATGTCATTTTTGAAAAAAAAGATTGGAGGTAAAAGTTTGAGAAAAAAGCCAATTAGTACCTGCACAACGAAACACCCCCATAATAAGCTCATTATATAATAAAAAGTTCATATATAACAAATTTTTCTAAGATAAATCTTGACCTCTCAATATATAATAAAAAGCATATATATAATGAAAAATAAAAATACAAATAATATTATTCATTTCCCTTCTAGAATCTTTGACCGTGACTAATAAAATATTTATATTTATTTATTAAATAAAATTCACATATAACAAATTTTCCTATAATAAATCTAGGCAATCCCTAGAAGCTTTGACTGGGATTAATAAAAGTATTTATATTTATTTAATTATAAAAGTCTATATACAACAAATTTTTTCTTAAAATAAATCTAGACAAGAACTCAAACCTTTGATCATTATAAATAAAAATATTTAGATTTATTTATTTATTAAAGTCCACATGTAACAAATTTTTCCTGAAATAAATTTAGACCACCCGCTGCAATTAAATAATGATGGTGTTAATCTCAATATATAATAAGCTCTTTATATTAGGAAAATTTTTAAACCATTATTCTTCTAGTTTTTTAGATTCATAATTTTTTGTTAGTTTTATAAAAAGTCAGTTTACTTTTTCAAACGGGGCTAAAAATTACGCATGTTTCTAAAACCATTATTTCTTAGTCAGTTAATTTTTTTAAAATTAATGATGTCTCGTTTTAAAAGCATGCACTAATATATTTCCTTTTTTTATAATGTTTAAAAATTACCCTAGTTATTAAACCATTATTTTTTAGCTTGTTAATTTTATGTTTTTTGAATTAATGATGTCTCGTTTAAAAGCATGCATTAATATATTTCCCTAATTAAGGTAATAATTGCCTGAATTAAATCTTATTTTATTCCCGATTACCTTAAATACAATATAATAATTCAGAATGAAATTGTACACCACATTAATTTCAATACGTGTGTTTTAATTGTGATTATCTTAAATACAATATATTAAATCGGAACTATATTAAAATAAAGAATAACCATAGATCGATTGAAATCAAAGGTGCAAAATTTTAATGCTTTGGGCAGGAAAAGGTTGGGGGCAGAATTCCCTGATTTCAAGAAGAGGTCCCAAGTAGTGCAAGACCCCTGCGATTTGAAAAGCGCGATCGCAGAAGCAAAAAGAGACAATCGAGCCGTGTGGAGAGATTCAGAGGGAGACTAACGGAAGAGGTGAGGCCGCTAGGAATCGTCGACGGCGACACATATTCCGGATTCTCCAATCCGATTCAGAGATTATCCTGGTGCGATATCTTGAATTTATTTTCCTCTTTTTGAATAATTGAATGCGTTGAATGCTTTATCTTTTTTTTTCCGTTTCCTTCTTAATGATCAAGTTATTCGATGTATCTATTAGAAGAAACCATTTTTATGCGAACTATGGCATTCTTAAAGCTTTGATTATTTAAAATTTTGCTTTTTAGGGTTTGACTGTTTAGCTGTCTCATCGTTAAAATTATAGCTTCAAATAGCTATGTTTTCTGGATTTTAATTCGTTGCGTAACACTGTAATATTTTGATTTCACAAACACAAACTGCCATTGAAGTCATTTCTTGCAATTTTTTTGGCAATTGACTTTCTTTAATTTCATATCTATGCTTCACTCTCCGTGCTGAAATCATAGGACTGGGGTTCTATCTGCTCAGAGTGCCATGAATGATCAGAAGGTTAAAGGAGAAGAATTTTTACAAAAAGCCCAGAGGAGGCTCAGCGGTTGGTCTCTTTTCAGCAACAAAAACGAGGATGCAGCTGATTTATTCGATAAAGCTGCCAATTCCTTCAAGCTCGCTAAGTCATGTACCTTTATTTTACACATAAATGTCTTCCATTATTTGACATATTTGTAGTTCAATTAAGTTTTATGGTTCACTATTTGATTAGGATTTTTTATTTTGTTTGTGTCCAATGATTAATTTGATTTACTCGAAAACCGTAAAAGGATATATTGTTCTAAATCAAACTGATTCTATTCTAATGTTGGATACCTGTTGATTGTTGTCTATCTTGCTTCCCCTGGATTTTAATTGAAGGATATAAAGCTTGTGTTATTCTCGATGCATCTGGAAATTATGGTACATGATAGATAGGTCCTTGTTTAATATAACCTTTACTGGTCTGATAGGTGGGTACTGTTCATTAATGGAGACAAGATAATAGGTAGCTTAGAGGAGGGTAATTTGTTTTCTTGTTTTCAGCATGTTGGGCATGCTGCTGATCTGCTACTCACGTAACAAGTTTGTTCTCTTGTCAAGATTAAACCAGTTCTGATAGTATAAATTAGTATATATTATCTACCATTCCTAAGCATTTATAACAAGTTGAATGTGCCTCCATGTTGCTATTTATATTATTATTATTATTATTTAAGCACATAAAATAATTGATATTATGATAGTATTATTTGGATAAAAGGTGCGTGATTCTTTATTATGCACCTTGTTCACTTATGCAGCAGGAAACCGTTACTTTTCCTTATTGTAAACAGATGCCAACACCCCAAACTCATTAAATCCACTGAGCCAAATATTTAATGCGTATATGTTTTCCCTTTATTCTGTTCCATGGCATGGAAACAGGTTTCTTACTGAGTGATTATTGTATTAGGGGCTGAAGCCGGGGGTGCATATGCCAAATTGGCTGAATGTCATTTGAAGGTATTTGTTTGGTCCATTGGAATATGAACCTGGTATGTTTTGACGTTTTGTATTTGCTCTCCGTCATATTCTTGTAAGCTTACTTCAGTTCTTGCCTGATATTGAATTTGCAGCTGGACAGTAAGCATGAGGCCGCTAATGCATATGCTGAGGCTGGTCACAACTACAAGAAAATAGATACTGAAGGCAAGTCCATAGATATAATTTGAATATATCTACACACGTTTTTCCTTTCTTACATTTATATGTTCATCAAGATTCTTAAAGACACACCTTATTACCATACTACTGTCCCATAAAAGAGCCTGTTGTCTAATTGTATTATATGCATGTCATTTGTTTTTGGATGGAAGAGGGTGAATGTTTTGGAATTATGCTGGCTGCAAAAACATGCCTCCAAGAGATTTCCTTAAGTATTCAAGCCTTTTTTACATTCAATTGCTAGATTCTCAGGCATTGTCTCATATTAATCTCATTTGGAATGATTTGGAAATTGGAATATAATTATTAGGAATTTGGAATTGAGTTATTGTGAACAAAGTACTAGACAGTAAATAATACTGTCGTGTTTGGATTGATGGGAATTCATCCAACTTCCCAAAATTGTGCAAAAACCATGCTATATTAGAGCCTTGTGATACATGAAATTTGAGGAATTAGGGATTCCCAGTAATCTCACAAGAACATTTTGTTTCCTGCCCCAATTCCAGGGAATTCCCTGTTCACGGGAATAATAAGCCATTCCAAATGTATTACTTTTACATTTTCCCTGGCTATATATGAACTTTCTCTACTTATTATCTAGTGGCTCCAGATTATATTCAGATGATGTGTAGGTATCGGCAAACTGGAATTAATAGAGATATTTGATGGTTTGTCATTTTTCCGAACAGATGTTCGTAGTGACTAATATGTTTCAATATTTTTTCACTAAGTTTCTCTACATTTTTGGATGCTGTTCATCCTTCTTTTGGTTCTTTTATGTTTCCTCTTTAAATTGAAAGTAAATTATTCTTACTCCGTATTTCTCAACAATAAAAATGTTGCAGTGGCTGTAAATTGTCTAAAAGAAGCAGTAGAGCTATTTAAGGAAATTGGGAGGTTGAGCATGTGTGCGAGATATTGTAAGGTATATAGCAGTGTGTGTGTGTGTGTGTGTATATATATATAAATATATATATATATATATATGCACACACACATACATATATGCCAGCTCAGCTCTACATGAATCAGAAATGATTTGTCTCTATTCTCTGAAATGCTATTAATACCTATTTCTTTATCTATCTAGCACAACGCATGAGTACTAGCTATTAGTCCACTGCATGGAATACTATCTGATAAAGAACTTCATGTGTCTGCCTCTCTACCTAGTAAATCATTTTTAGGAGATACATTTTTGTATAATGTATTTGTAAATGGAGTGTCCATTGTCAATGGAGCTAAAAGAGTCATTTTTGACAATGTTTTAATTTTGGGGTCATAATGGTCTTAAACAAAATGGCACATTAAACCTTCCTTGCTTACTTTCAATGATATTTCAGACAGTAAATGCACCAATGTGTTAGGGTCTCACGGAAACAGTGTCTCTGTTTCTATAGGGGTAAGACTGCATATATCTTGATCCTAGATCCCATCGTAATTGGGATTATAGTGAGTTGTATTTGTGTGTGGAAGAGATTACTGAAATACATGAGCAGCGCCATAGTAAACTACTCTTCAGAGATAAATTTATGTCTAATGTTTTTGTATGTGCAGGAAATTGCTGAAATATATGAGCAAAAGCAATACCTTGAATTGGCCAACGAGCAATATGCATTAGCAGCTGATTATTTTGAAATGGAAGGTGTTTCAACAACTGCAAATCAATGCAAAACTAAAATGGCTGAATTTTCTGCTCACATGAAAGAGTAAGCCTGCCAACCTCCATATAGAGCATATCTGTTAAAAGTCGCTATGAACTAATCTAGTCTAAAACTTCACTGTTTTCTTAGATATCCAAGGGCTATTGAAATATATGAGGGGATAGCACGCTATTCTGTTAATAACAACTTGTTGAAATATGGAGTTAGAGGGCATCTTCTTAATGCTGGTATTTGCCAGCTATGTTTAGGTGATATTGTTGCAATTAACAATGCTTTAGAGAAATACCAGGTAATAATGTTTCTCTTGTTAATGACTTATTGTTTTGGGAGCCTTGTCAAGATGTAATACATTAGGCCAATGTTGAATTTGCATCTACAGGAGCTGGATCCAACGTTCTCAGGGACGCGCGAGTACAAGCTACTAGTGGTACGTGAACCAAAGTTAGTTATTTTTCTGCAATATCATCTTTGCATTCTTTGGAATGATTAGTGTATAAGATCATATTTCCCATGAGTAAGAGATCTGCCTAGGATGTGGTGCTTGGGTTGCATGCATAGACATATCTTCCTCCGCTGGGGTGAGGGCAATGAAAGTGGTAGGGGGAGCAGATTTGAGGGTGTCGATGGCGTGATCATTGATGGTGGTTGTAGTAATGTTGGAGTTGGTGTTGTTGTGGCCAACCATGGAACTTGGGTGGAGGTGGTGGTTGGAATTTTGACGGCGGATCTGATAGCGTGGGAATTGTTTTATGCGGGTTGGAGATAGCATTTGTGGCTGTGGTGAATTGTAACTGACCATGTTGCAACGCCATTCGCAATTAGGATTATCTTTGAAATTCCAGTAGAGCAGTCTTTGTGCCTAGAAAGGAATCAAAATGAAATAACGCTTGGAGTTCATTCCAGTTTGTCTTCAATATTTCAAGATGTTGCACCAATATCTTTCAAAATACGCAGTATAAATCATACTCATCAAAGGAACGACATAATTGACAAACCGAAACATGTTGAACCCAAAAACTCATTTTGTCCCCTTAATTCTGATTTTTAAAATTTTTTTTGTGATACTTTCGGGAAGAACATAAAATGTAAAGGACAAGAACGAAGATGAAAAGCTATAGACAGAAAATGGATTTGATACCAGATTGTTAAGGGCACGGTGAGGAACAAAGATGATGAGTGAAAGTTGTAAAGATAAAGAATTGCTAACTCTTTGCAGAGTAGGGTTCGTGCTTGACCTTTCCCAAGACATGTGCCAGCTGACTCCAAAATTATTGATGATCTTATTAATGAATAGATTCCTTCTCTTTATTCTACTCAGAATAGTCTTGGAGTCTTGATGAGGAAGCTAATAGAGATTTGAGTCCTAATCAAATGCAACAATATTGCTGTTTGGAGTACTTACTAAAATAGAGTATTACTCCTAATGGGAAACTGTTACTACAAGAAAGGACTAATTACTAATAATAAAGAATTAGGGAGTAAAGAATAAAATGCAACTCGCAATTCCATTTTCTTTATTAGTGTGCCAAGTTACATTAGGGAGTAAATTTTAGGATGGAGAGAGCAAAATAGAGTTGAAGGAAATTTTCTCATCAAAACTTTTTTGGCAAAAGAAACTACTCCATCTCTCCCAAATATAATGTCACACATTGACTTTTATGGTCAAGGTTTATAAATGTTTGCTGTGATTAGGATAAAATTATAATTATAACTAGCTTTAATATATTGTATTTAAATAATTTGATTAAACATAACCACATATATTGATGATCAAAGTTTTAGACTGAGACGATTAAACACACCATCCATTTTGTGTCATCTCATTTTAGCAACAAAATTGATTAAACATAACCACATATATTGATGATCTAGCAAACTTCTTGTCTAAGTTGCTTGTCAGCCTACTCTCAAACTTTGCAAAATATCAAAATGTTAAGAATGAACAAAGGAACTCGGACTCAAAGAAAGGACTTTATATTATTCTCTCTCCAAAACCTTGCAATGCTTCTCACCTCTTGAGTGACTGAAATGAATGAGGGGGAAGGGTATTCATACTTCTTCACCTCCTCAATGGATGGCTAAGATCTACTTGATCTAACAATTGTAAATGAGTATCTAGAATACTCTACACAAATTTCTAAGATATTAAAAGCAACATGAAATATTTTCTGAGGATAAATATCTCTACACTAATCCATATTATTCCGGAACCTTCCAAGCTTCTCTAGCAAGTCCCACTTGATTCTAGAGAATTACTCCTGTCCATTGACTTTAGTAACTCCCTGAATCCCCCCTTTTTTATTCGATAAAGAAATCTGTATGCATTCATAGATCACATTACTGTTCTCCCTGACCCTGGGTGAAGGTTTCTGTAAAAAGTAATTCCATTAATATAGATATCACTGACATTAAAATAGCATCCACTTTGCTCAGGACTCTTCAAAGTTTGGAGTACAACCCCAATTTCTTAGTGTTATTCCTTACGCTTGCTTCCCAACAAGCCATCTTGAACCACTTCATTCTAGCATTTGCTAAATTTTGTAATCATGCCATTCAAATGAGCTTTACTTTCATAGTCTTGTATCAGGTTGACGTGGTTGGTTTTCAACTACCCTCAAACTTGTTTCTGCAATTTTGTTTTTGCAGTCATTCGCAAAACTGATACTGTTTATTGCTTTCATGATGGCAGGATTTGGCTGTGGCATTGGACGAGGAAGATGTTGCAAAGTTCACTGATGCTGTCAAGGAATATGATAGCACGACCAAACTGGTAAATTTGAATATACCGTGTCAACCTTACTCTATTGTTGGATGTGATTTTGTCTAGTCAAAGTTTATAATTCCAGTAAATTCTGTGGACGGAATTTGGCAAACAAATCTTTAGCTGCAGCATAGTTATATTCCAGATTGTTACCAGCTGGTAAATTTGAATCTACCATTTCCACCATTTTGTTTCATGATTTGTAGATTATGATTACTCAGTTCGGAACAAAATAACTATGCCTTGTAGAACGATGAGTTAATCATAGGATAGCAATATGTTACACTGCATGCTATCTAGAGACGGTTTACTACAACTCATGATTTTCTTGGACAATGATTAATTGGGATTTGTCCAGGAACGAACTCAACCACAAGCTCAAGCTTGTGGTTGTGGCCCAGGAAAGGTTTTTATACTCTAACACGGCTCCTCATGTGTAGGCGTGGCTACTTTGAGCCTTGCACGTGAAAACTTAATTTTTAAAAAACTGAACTCGTGACTTCTTGGTGATCCTGGCTTTAAAGTTTCAACCACATGCTCAAGCTTGTGGGTTGTGTGGCTCAGGAAAGGTTTTTATTCTCTTTCTTTTCCCGTTACTGAAATTCCACACAGTTTCCTTTTATGGGAACTTATATGTTCATTATTTCTCTATATATGTTCTGAGTAATAACGCCCCCGACTCTGTTGCCCAGGGCATAACATTTGTGAATGAATTACTTTAGAGTTTTGCAAAACATACATATTTGACAATACATGTAGTATTTGAACTACATGATCGCTCCTTTGTGTTGGAGTAAGATTTACTCTTTTTGATTGGATATATTCTATCTGTCCAAAAATTATCTCCACTTTGTTGGCTTATTTTCCTTACTCGTTGATAAATTGATTTAGTCATATCACATCTAGTTTTGTAGATCTTTTGATGTAGTCTTTTAATATGTAATTTTTATTTTTTTAATTTTACATCATTTTTCATATAAATTGATTTGAGAATAACATCAGTCAAATATCGTAATGCACATGGAAAGATAATTTTTAGACGGAGGGAGTAGTTTTTTTACTTGTCATTCTTTGAATGTTTGGCATGTGTTGTTACTCTCTCTATCCTTGAACTCTCTTTCTTTTCCTGTTACTGAAATTCCACACAGTTTACTTTTATGGGAACCTATATGTTCATTATTTTTCTATATATGTTCTGAGTAATAACGCCCCGACTCTGTTGCCCAGGGCATAACATTTGTGAATGAATTACTTTAGAGTTTTGCAAAACATACATATTTGACAATACATGTGGTATTTGAACTACATGATCGCTCCTTTGTGTTGGAGTAAGATTTACTCTTTTTGATTGGATATATTCTATCTGTCCAAAAATTATATTTCCGTTTACTATTTACAGGGTCAAATTTTCTCCACTTTGTTGGCTTATTTTCATTACTCATTGATAAATTGATGTAGTCATATCACATCTAGTTTTGTAGATCTTTTGATGTAGTCTTTTAGTAGTAATATGTAATTTTTATTTTTTTAATTTTACACCATTTTTCATATAAATTGATTTGAGAATAACATCAGTCAAATATCGTAATGCACATGGAAAGATAATTTTTAGACGGAGGGAGTAGTTTTTTTACTTGTCATTCTTTGAATGTTTGGAGTTAATTGTTCACCTATTATTGGTGGGGGGGGGGGGGGG